AAGAATTTTTGTAAATCTTTTTTAGAAAATTTTTTCATGAAATGTGATCAACTGACGAAATGTAGAGCAAAATGAACTGTGCTCATAGAAAAATAATTGTAAATTTAGCTTTTCATACAAAAAAGTTATTCGAGTTGTTCCGTGAAAAAGGGGGCTAACGGGGAAGACGGAAGGAATAACTTTTTTGCATGAAAAGCTAAATTTACAATTGTTTTTCTATGAGCACAGTTCATTTTTCTATACATTTCGTCAGTTGATCACATTTCAGGAAAAAATTTTCAAAAAAAGATAAAAATTCTTGCGTGTTCTTGCGTTGAGCGCTACTATCCGAACCGAGCACAATCAAAGTTAACCGGGAAAACGTGTGGTCGGTGAGCGCTTTTCGAATTCTAAATATAATAAACCTCAATCGTGCTTCTTCCCAACCCTTTCTTTCCAATATAAACATTTTTAACTCTCCTCCTCCTCCTCCTCCTCCTCCCTTTCTTCTTCTTCTCCTATTATTAGCTGTTTCTGTGGCGGAGAGGCTACCGGGCGGTGCCACGTCATCCACTGTACACAATTGTCGCTTTTTACCCGGAAACGTGTTCAGCCACTTTTTCATTTGAACGTTTTGCTCGTCTAGATTTTCATCTCCCGTCTAGAGTCCTCACTTTGTCAATAGATCCACCGCCAAGACAGTTATGGTTCTAAGAGTCAAATTGAATATCAGAAGCGCCTCAAATAATATGTACATTTCACGAAGCATGATGGAAACGTTGTTGACTTTTTCCATCACTTCTCCTCAACTCTCAAAACAAAGTAAGGGGGGTTGAGAATGCGAAGAGCACTGTGTGCGTTGCGTATTCACGTTTTCCAGGTTACTTTCAGCTTCACCTATTATTGGGGCATCGCACAGAAATGGCGCTCTGTTGAGAAACTCGTTTTGGCCGAGTTTGAAAAGTTTGGCCACGTTTTCAGTGGAAAATTACTTCGCGGCCTAGAAATTCGGCCAGATTGTTCGGTGCCCCAATAATAAGCATCCGTGATCTGTCCTAGGTTCCTAGCAAGTTCTAAGACCTGGGTAACGCAATTCGCCAAGGAAAATGTTGTATGTTTGCCTCGAAAAGGGCACGAAAACGGCCAGCTGGAAGGCGTTTATCATTGCTAAATGTTTCCGAAAATTATGCGACCCCAGGGAGCTGGGCCCCCTTCTTTTTCGTTGGAAAGCGAAAGGTTTTCCGACCACGTTTCTTCGATTTCGTTTCAGAAGAGTCTAGAAGACCCCCCCTCGCAGTTCCTTTTAGCTCCATGTAGAGAGACAAACGGAAGCGGAGCTGCTCTGCCAATATTTGATGGATTATGTCGTTTTGATGGGTAAGCACCTGATGCTCCTTGGGGATGCTCTCCTTCCGGAGAGGCGAAGAAGAAGGAGCAAGCTCGAGGCGCGTTTATGGTGTGTGAGTATGATTGATGGCCTAGGTTCGTTATACACTATGACAACTTGACTTGTAACTCTCAGAAATCCGCAAGGGAAAGAGCGATGGACACGACAAGTCAGTCACGATGATTACATCGCTTTCTAGGGCCCGACACACACACACACACTTTGATTCCCGCTTGACTTACCGTAGTATTCCGAGAGAAAAGTTGGTAATCTTTGTAGTCGTGCGAATTACTCCAAAATTGGTGATATTTTGGTGCCCGTTTAGGGTAGGCGTTCAAAAATCATAGGACTCATCTGAAATTGTCTTCTATGCAAGGCAAAAGACGAAAACAGATCTGTAGACTCGAACTTGCACCCTCTCACGTTCAAAAAGCAAATGAGTTAGCCACTCGGCCATTTGCACACTCCTCCCGCTTGGCAGGTCATTGTGTATAGGTAATCGCTGCCTACCAGTGTTGTCAGGCACAGCCCAAAATTGCCAATTTTCCATTTCATAATATATCCTCCTCCTCCTCCTCCTCAAAAAAACGTATCCTCCTCCTGGCACAACCATTTGTCTTTCGCTTTCGGATCGCCATTTTGCTACACGGAAAAATCCAGACGGAAAAGGAGTAACCCATAAATTTGGTGGCCCGGCCCGGAAGACGTGAGAAGAAGAAGAAGAAGAAGAAGGGGAAGAAGAAGAAGAAGGAGAAGACAAAAGCCGCTCATTTCCAAATAAAAATGCTCATATTTCGCATAGGTTTTCCGCACTGTCCTTCGGGGATTCTCTCTCGTCATTTCTCGAAGATTTTACCCGGAAAATGTATTTGTATGTTCGAATTTTCAGGTTTCGAATAGACTTCATCGAGTGAACGAACAAGCGAGTCAATAGTACCATCGGAAGAGAGAAAGAAAGCGAAAGGTTTGTGTGTCTATGGCCTCTTTTTCGTTTTATTTGCATTTTGGTAAATATTGAGAATTGAACAGTAATAGATAGTACTCTCTCGTCAAGCTGTAGAGGTTCCCTTAATCACTTGATGATTTAAACAGCTTGTAACTCAAAAGCTAGACGTTTTAGGTGAAAACGGTCAACTACAAAATTGTTAAGCATGAAAAGTTACGTAATACTGTAGCACATCATTTTTCGCAAAAATAACTGTCTGGGCCTGCTCTTCGGCCTCAAAGTCTGCTCTATTATCCTTTACTTGCTCCGACGTATTTGTACTGTTTAGAACAAAGCTTGTAACTCAAGATCTTTGCGTTTTAGATGAAAATGATGAATTACAAAGTTGTTCAGTATAAAATTTTCTACAACTTTACAGTTGAACACTTTTTGCAATAGCTATCGGTTCTTGAGATAGAAGCGTTCAAAAAAGAGGTTAAAATTTCAACCAACCCTTACTTTCGCTTATTATCAGACTTGCAACGGGCCGGGCCGGGCCGGGCCGGGCCAAAATTGGAAATTTTCCGGCCCGGCCCTGGCCCGCGGCCCGGCCCGGCCCGGCCCAGCCCGGCCCGGCCCGGTCGGCCCGGGAGGATGCACCTAAAAATTCAAAGCGAACTAGAACTTCGAAACGAACATAATTTTATAGACTTAAAATTTTATAGACTTAAAAAGGCAATGTTATAGCATAAAAACCTGTTAAAAAATAGAAATTGCTGTTTAAAGTCGCAAAATTTTCACAAAAATTACGAAAATTTTCTCAAGAGTGGGCGGAGCCGGGCCGACCGGGCCGGGCCGGGCCGACGATTTGCTGGCCCGGGATTTGGCAAGTCTGCTTATTATTCCTCTTCTCGACTATCGAATCCACTCCAGTTCCAACTCAAAGCCCTACTTCTTCTAGTCGCCCGCGTCGCCCCGCCCCCTATTTCTCATTGTTCTCCACGGCGATGTGTCTTCTAAATTGGCGATAAGTGCTCTCGAACCGCTTCGGCCCGCATCCCCATCCCCTCATCCCCTCATCCCCATCCCCGGTCCAACTTTTCCACGTGTCACTTCATTTGGAACACTTTTTACACTTTTCTGCGCCTTGGAAAAACCATCTGGTTTAGGTTACTCCTAAATGAAATTCGCCGGGAGCCGAAGAGTGCTTTACAACCGACCAAACACACACTTCTGAGCAATAGCGAACAGTTTTCGGGACGGAAAAAGTTCATTCCGGCCCGTTCGAGCGCAAAAATGTTGGGGAAACCAACGGAAACCGCGTCCATATGGTGCATCGTCGTGTTTATTTACTCGAATTTCATAACTCTTTCTCTCTCTCTCTCTGTGCCTCGGTTCGCATTATTCATAATACGAGTCAATTAGGAAACCTTCTCTTGTGCTCCACCCCAAAAATTGGCCCTCGTTACTGTCGTCGCATGACAAGACAGAAAAAGTGTGTTTAGGTTTTGAATAGGAGGAACAGTTATTTCGAAGGGGAGGGGGGGGGAGATGAAGTTGAACAACAACCAGTACTACCCCACTTCTTCTTCTTCTTCTTCTTCTTCTTCTTCTTCTTCTTCTTCTTCATGGTGTGGTGGTAGATGTCTATCTTTGTGTGTCGGAAGTGAAGTGAACGGAAGAGCGGAGGGGCAGTGGGCCACGGATTTCTTCGACAGTTTTCATTTTACTTGTCAAACTTTTTTTCGCGCCCCCCACCCCAAAATTTTGTGCGATTCCGTCATTTTACGCAACACATGTGTTGCAATCGCGCTCCATCGCACTTTTGTGCAATTCTATGCGGCGAAAGCGTGCGAACATTGCTCACTTTTGTAAATGATCGCTTTTGGCGGGTTTTTGAGCTGGAATTTTGACAAAACTATGGTTCGGTACAGCGCGATCGCCTCGTGGCTGAATAAAAACAATCCATTCGAATGGAGGAAATCCATGCCGCGCCGTCAAAATCCGCCGACAAAATCGGCTCTGACCGTTGAGCCCTCTCTCCCTGGCCGCGGCTCACTCGCGGGCTCTTCTGGCTCAACCGTCTGTGGCTTATTGCTAAGCCATCCCCAATTTTTTTTACCGATTTTTCAACATTTTCGGGTAAAACTCTGAAAACATCGAAATTTGCGTATTTTTTTTGTCTTTCGGTCTTTGTTTTACTGCGCACGGCACCGATTTCGTTACTGCGTTGGGGAGGGAGGGATCGTGATGGTGCGCGTGGCGCAGTGGTTGCATTTTGGAATTGTAGGCAGTGTGAGGGGTCCGATCGGAAGTTCGAGTCCCGCGTTAGAGAAATGGTTTTTGTTCTCATTTCACCTGCATCTAACATCACTTTCCACTCGCGAAGAGCTCATCTATTTAGAGTGGAACTCTGCCGGTAGGTATATGTCTTCCGGACCGGATTACGATTATTCACTTTCAATCAGTTTCGCTCCTACTTGTTGATCGATGTTATACATTTGTCGAGTCGGTTTCCAATTTGCTAAGTGTGATCATTGCACACCTTCCACATGATGTTGAAAATATAATCGGCCTATCTTTTTGGAGGATGAGGATGAGAGGAGGAGGAGGAGGAGGAGCAGTAGACCTTAAGATATGGACAAATACATATAAAAGGAATCGAAAGAGCCCCGCCAGAACAACAATATTCGTTTGAGATCCAGAAAAATGGATACCAAATTGGAACGTCCCGTCGCGTATTACCCCTACTTTTATTTCAACAAAACCCAAGCGGAAGAACAGTGTGAGCAACAACCTCAACATTTTCCTTTATGTTTCTAGGCCAGAGTTGAAGATTTTCAAAGGGTTAAAAAACGAATCGAAAGGTTATTTTATGCTCTACAACTTTGCAGTTGATCATTTTACACCATCACACCCCTGTAGCGAGATATTTCGATTTTAACGCAACGGACAGTGGCTTTTACTTGTTTTTTCGATTTTACTCAATAGCTAAAAGAGATCGTGAAAAATGATCAATTACAAAGTTGTAGAGCTCAAAATTATCTATCGATTCATGGTTTAACATTGAGAAAATATCGAAAATTGACCAAGTTACACGCGGTTTACCGCCGACCACCTAAATGCTCGCACTAATGATCCGAACCAATCAATACCGTAGCTTTCTCCGGGAATTTTAGTATATTCGAGTGGAACTGTTTGCCGACCGTATCGATGGATACAACCCAAAACCTACAGTGTCTGTGTGCCGGTGGCGGCCCGCACATAATGGCGCAATGAATGTTTGCGCCATCTGAACCAATATGGACGGGCATGACGGAAAACGAGGGAAAGTGTGCCGAAAACGAAGCTTTTTGACCATTTTACCTTTCTCTATATTTTTGGTCGGAGTAGTAGCGGTGGTTGAGCATCCGTCAAGGGTGTAACTCTTTTGAACTACGGTAATAGAAGATCACCACAATAGCGCGCACTCAAACCAATTTATCTCAGCTGCCCGTGGAACTATCAAAAAGTTGTCAACTGATAAAATGTACACAATTTCTTGGTGATCATTTTATCAGTTGACAACATTTTTGTACCTCTCCCGACAGCTGAGATATATCGTTTTGAATGCACGGCATTGTGCAAGTCCTGTAGAAAACCCGCAAAAATTGCAATTCTCCCGAACCGAAAAAAAAGACAAACAATTCATAAATTCTCTGGCTCGTGGGAACCCCCCGCATCACTCTTTTCCGTCTCTTTTCGCGTTGAAACAATAATACAGGTTGTTGTGTGTGCCACGTATTCGATACTTTTTTTTCTACAGTACGGACTGCTCCAGGCCCGGCCCGGCCAACAAACAAAACATAAAAAATATGGAAATGGGGGCGCCTGGTACGTACGAATGGCTATAATTTTACGAGGCCGTCGGTCACTCGGTGGGAGCCCCCCTCACTTTCTTTCCGTTTCTCTCCCACCTCAAACACACACACACACACACACCCACGCATCCATCATTCTCTCCGTTGTTCACCTGAAAATGGACCGTTTCTTTTTTTTTTGCAGGTATATGCGATAGAAGCGACTTGCTGTCGATGATGAGCTCAAGCACCGGTTCGTGTGATTTGGACGGACCGCCCGAGACGAAACGCTTCAGAATCGATGTGAACACACAGGTGAGCGCACCGGGAAAATCCACGTTTTTTCCAACTTTCTTCTTGTCGCGCACGTTTCTCACTGCGCGCGGCACCCATAACGACACCATCCTGGGGAGCCGTGGGCTTTGACGGTGCGCGTGGCGTAGTGGTTGCTTTTTGGAATTGTAGAGACTGTGAGTGGTCGAAAGTTCGAACCCGGTCAGGTGAAATCGGTTTTTGCTCAAATTATTCAATCAGTATACACTTCTCCAAGTGTCAGTTTCTAGTTTTCAATCCTCCTTTGGCACATTGCCAACCAGTCATACTTGGAACGAAACGATCGGAGAGAAAGAGATGGAGATGAACAATCCAATCCGTGAAAAAAAAAATTCCAATTTCAATAATTGAAATGGCTGAGCGCGCGCGCGAAATGAGCCCCCCACACATCCCGAGATAAGGATGAGCCGGACAGATATTTCCACATTTTCGCTCGAAATGTCTCTCAAACTTGGCGCTATTTTCCGATGAGCGCAAGACAAATCTTTTTCTTTTTCTTCAAATGTTCCACCAATCCGCAGGAATGAAGAGATTTGATGAATGAGCGACGAAAAACGATTTTGAAGGGGTTCACTTCCAACTCTTTAGAAATGGGCGGCGTATAACTCTAGAACTAAGCGTTTTGGTACAAAATAGTCAACTGCAAAATTGTTGAGCATAAAAAGTTACGTAATGTTGTAGTGCATCATTTTGCTGAAACATAACTCTCAAGGCTTGATTGTAGGCCTCAAAGTGTGCTCGTCACATGTACTGTGTGTACTGTTTAGAAATAGGCTCATAACGTGAAAATAAAGAGTTTTGGATAAAAGTGATCAATTACAAAGTTAGAGAGCATATAATTCTCTACAATTTTCTAGTTAAACGCTTTTTCAAATAATCACTAGTTCTTGAGATACAAGTTTCCAAAGACACAAGTGCCAATTCAATTTGCAGGTCGGAATCATCGATGCTCCCTCGACAACGTGCTCGATCACAACGACTCCGGTGGCAGGAGAAGCGTCGCAGGATGGGCAGTCCCCAGCAGCGCCCTCCTCCGCCAGCTACCGTTCCTCGAACAGCAGCGTCATCTCCTCCTCCGAATCGCCGATCAAAGAGGAGGAGATGGACACTTCGGACCTGCAGTTGCAGCACGACGAGACCGACGGATCGGTGGTCGGAGGGGCGAGCACCGGCGGCGCGAGCATCGTCAACAATAGCGAGATATTCGAGATGCTCAACAAGACGTTCGGCGGTGTGTTCGGCAATTGCGATCTGGAAGGAATGATGCGGCCCGCGGCACTCTTGAATCCTCCCTCCCCGCCCACACCCGTTCCCACCGGAATCCCGGGCGCTCTGGCCGTCGCACAGACGCCTGCCGCTCAACTTTTCGCGAACGATGACTGGAGCTGGCACCGAAACCCGGCGGCGTCGATCCGAAGCGGAGGAACCAACAAGCAGACGCCCGTCTGGAAGTACTTTGTGTACAATAAAGCGGAAAACTTGAGCAGGTTCGTTGATCGAATTTCTGATGGTCTAGAAAAGTCAATAATCACATTTCAGATGCATCGTCGGCGACTGTACCTACATGCTCAAAGGGCCGCACACCTCCACGCTGGCGTGCCATCTCAAAAAGCACACGAAAGAGTATTCGGAGTTCCAGAAGCTCAAGACGGAGTACTCGCGGACCAAGATGGAGCAGCAGCCGAAGGTGCCCGAGATGACGACGCCCAGTCCGATGGCTCCGATGAATCTTCAGTCGCTTCCGGCTCGCCAGACCATCTCTCCGGTCTCCTCCACCTCAAACTCATCCGCTTCTGGTGTGGATTTGAGCATGAAGAAGGCGGCGAAAAATAAGGAAATTCCAATTCCGAGCTCCGCCAAGCTTAACGAGATGATATTGAACGGTTTTCGGGGAGGTGTCGCCGCTCCGATCAGCACTTCTTCCGCGTCGAACAGCACGTCGGTGCCGAGCTTTGTGACCAACATGATGCTGCAAATGAACCCGCTCCACATGATGTTGGCTCAATCGCTGCCGACGACAGCTCAGCCACCGGCCACCGGCGGCGGCGGCGGCGCACAACAACAATCCTGCGGCGCGTCACAAATCGTCGCGAGCACCAACGCTCTCGCGATCTCGCTGGCCGCCAACGGTCAGCTGGTCCAGTCGTCGAAAAAGTGGCGAAGCGACGAGAAGAAGCAGAAAGAGTTGGGCACGCGGCTCGCACTCGCGCTCGCCACCTCGCACATCCCGTGCGAGGTGCTCCAGAATCCGCTGTGGAAGGAGGTGTTCGAGATGGCGCAGCCCAAGTTCTCGCTGCCCTCCGAACAAGTGTACGAGGCGGCCGTGAGCGGAACCGTCCAAAAACTGACGCAGACCGTCAAGAGCGCGCTGGCGGCCAACAAAAAACTGAACCTTCTCCTCGACGTCACCAAAGTCACCGGCGAAATTGCGAGGCTTTCGGTCGCGGCGGCTATTACCGGTGGCGCCGGAAACGCCTACGAAACACAGGTCGTCCTGCTCGCGTTCCGCAACATTTCCCAGTCGGTCGGCGCCGAGAACGAGAATCTGGCGGAGGACGTGGCGAACGCGTTCGAGCGAGTGCTCGAGGACTACAAAATCTCCGAGGACTCGGTGAATCGGGTCGTCTGCTCGGGACTGCCAGAATTCGTCGGCGACGACGCCGGCCACATTGTCTCCAAACAGATGGAGTCGTTCGCCTCGAAGCTGTCCGCCTGCTTCCGCACCTGGCTCGACACCTCTCCGACTTTGGAGCTCTTCAAGAAGAACATCTACTCGATGCTGCTCTCCTATCTGACCGTGCCCGCCGCCATCCACCTCGCCTCCCAAATGATCAAGACCAAGTTCGAGCTGCCCGTCACCGAGCCGTTCCCGGTGATCATCGAGAATCTGATCACACATCGCGACATTTATCAAATGAATCTCGAGGGTTTGGCGCCGATTTCGGAGCGAGAATGGGTGAAAGTGATGGGAATTCATCAGGTGATGAACATCTTCAAACCGCTCACCGCCTACACGACCGAAATGACCACTGTGGACACGGTCATTCCGACGATTGTGCAGTTGAGGAACGCGTTGGAGAAGGTCGGTTTTTAGGGCGAAACACGGTCTCCAGAGCTGACAAGTGCGCCCCGCCTAATAGAGGATTCGCGCGAAATTCAAATTTTAACAGTATAATTTGTGTTTTTTGCCAGATTAGCCACGAAAAACCGATAATTTCCCATTTGTCTCTCGATAGACCGATTATAAAGTCCGCGATAGACCGATTACTTTTACGAATTTTTTAGGCGCAAGAGCGTCAAATTTGGTCAAGTCGCAAATCACATTTATCTGTTTGAAGGTTTTTGGCTAAAACTGCGTGAATTTCAGTTGCTTTTCGGTAGTTTTCGCGGTTCGAGCGCTCAAAATGCTTGTATTTACGTGATTTATCATTCTCAAAACTAATTCTGTCTGAAAACGGTCAAGAAATCGCAAAATGAGACGTGCGGTTTTTAGGCGGCGATCGGCGGCGAAAGCGAAAAAGAAAAGTCCGCGAAAAATGCGTCAAAACGTCATTATTTCTGAGAATTAGTGTGTTTTCATGTCGAACAATCATTTTTCATCGCCTTTGACCACAAAAATCAGAGAAAACCTGCTCAATTCATGAAAAAGTCATTTGGCCGCCGAGGCCACGCCCATATTGTCAGCTCTGGAGACGCAAAAATGAGAAAATAACTAGACTAATTTCAGGACACCTTCCACCTGGGAGAAGTCGGTTCGGACCTTCTCGCCTCGCTCAACGCCACCTTCGCCCCGATCACGTCTCCGAACCACGAGGAATTCGACTCCACGTACATCCAGGCGACGGCCCTGAATCCACAACTCGCAGTCACTCTCACCGCCGAACAAATGTCGCTGGCCAAGAGTTTAATCGAGAAAGAAGTGTCGAGACGGTCGCGGAAGTCGAGGTCTCACAACGAAAAGAAATTGGCGATGGGCGTCGATTCGCTTCTCGCGAACGTCATGAAGAAAGAGGGAGCCGGAGGCGAGGAGGCGCTCGCCATTTACGGCGATTTGTTTCAATCGATAAAGGGCGAGAGCATTGTCAATCAGTACTTTGAGGAAATCTCGAGCGCCGTAAGTTTTTGGGCAGCCGATTGGGTTTTTTGACGTAGAGTAAAAACGTAAAAACGAGAAATCATTCCGCTTGGCTGAGAAAACTCTCAGAATCTCGCAATTTCAACAAAATTCTCGTGCCGAAGCTTATAAAAAAAATTGTTTTATTTTTCAGACCTCCGTGGAAAGCATCTTCACGCCGCTGCTGCGTACTTTCGGAAATCCGATGCAAGCCCCCCTGGCCTACTGGAAATCGTGCTCTTCCCGATGCTCGGAGCTCTCCGAACTCGCCGCCGAGCTCCTCTCCATACCGATCTTCACGCTCACCGCCGAAAGAGTGCTGACTTTTTCGGCCACGGCCACGTCCACCGCGCTCAACACGAACCTAATTCTGACCAATTTGGACACTGTCGAACAGTTTGAAAAGCAGATTTTACTCCGTTTCAACCGTCAAATTGTCGCGAAATTATTAAACTAGTCCTATTTCTCTCTTTCCGTTTCGTTTCGTCGCAGCCATATTTTGTTTTCACACTTTTCCCATTGAATGTTCGCTTTAAAACCCTTGCCTTTGCGCTTTTCGATAATGGATCGCTCTATTTATAATTTATTTCTGTATTTATACCAAAACGGTGAGTTTCCCCATAAACTGTGCAATTTCCATGTTTCCGTTCCCTTTCCCCATTCCATGTCCCACTTTTTTTTTGCTTCTTCTCCCGCCAAGCATGTGATATTCATGAAACCCCCCAAATAGTTTTGTCAGACATTTTCCCCCTCCTAAACTATTTTTGCAGCATTCCTGTTTTCGGTGGCTTTTTGTAAAGACTAAATAAATGATTCGTTTTAATCACAATAATCACCCAGAGAAGAAGTTTAATTATGCAACAGAATGAGCAGAGGAAACAATTAAAACTGAGTTCCGTGCTCGACCGAGATTCCTGGCTGGTTTGGGAGGAATGCCAACGTGTGCTTTCCCTGAAAGAAAACTTATAAGCGACTGAAACAATAGAATTCAAGTACCTTCGCCGTCATTTTCCCGTCGGACTTTCGTCGGAATTCGCAATCGGTGAACGCCATCGTCCTGCCGATTTTGAGCACGTGCGCGGTGATTTCGACGACGTCGCCCACTTTGACGGGCAGCAAATAACTGACCGACAGCTCCACAGAAGCCATTCCTTTGTCTTTGATGGTCACTCCGACCGCACGCGCCGTGATCACATCCGTCAGTGTGGCTGTTTGACCGCCGTGCAGTGTTCCCTACAAATGTCATTCGGATTTCTTCTTTTCAAAGCCGATTTGGCTGGAAACTCTGGAAACTCGATTGCAATCTACTCAGGTAAATCGTTTGGAATCTAGCTAGCTAATTCGCGTTTCTAACCGGACCTAATTAGATTGCTAATTTACTGCGATTAGATTGCAAATTCTTCTAACTGGACTGAAAAATTTTCTAATTAGATTCTCTGGCATTTCGTTATTAATCTAACGGCCGCCTGATAAGATTGATATGACATCTAATTAGATTAATAAATTGCTTAGCTAGATTAATAAATCTTCTAATTAGATTAATAAGTGCTCAAATCAAGTTTCACGCCAACCGTCTGCTGGCTCAAATCTCGATTGCGCCAAGAAACAACAGTCGAATCTAATTAGGTCGCGTTTAGATCAGTAACTTTCTAATTAGATTAATATCGAATTGCCAGAGATTAGATTGCAAAAACACTGATATTAGATTCAAAATTTATCTAATTAGATTAAAATTTCGGGCAAACCTAGCTAGATTAAGAAATCGGTAGCAATCTAACTAGGTCCGGTTAGAAACGAGAATTAGCTAGTTAGATTAGAAACGATTTGCCTGAGTAATTAGAAGAGTTTGCAATCTAATAAGAAAAAACTCTATTTCGCAATCTAATCAGATTAGATTTAATTGAAGTTCCAGTAAAATCGTATTAGATTACAATATATTTTTCCTGAATTGCAATCTAATTAGAAAAATTGCAGTGATTGCAATCTAATTGAAGCAAATTCTATTTCAAACGAGTTCGTATTAGATTGCAAAGTTTTCTAATTAGATTGCGATCGAGTTCCTAGAGAAACACGATTTTAGTGCTAATTTCGTTCTTTCCACTCGTTTTTCACAAAAACGAATGCCTGGTGCTTGAATTCAATTCCTTTTGTCGGAAGCGGATGGAAAACAAGCGAAATTAGCACTAAAATAGTAAAGAAATAAAACAAATCGAACCTTTGAGTTCAAATGCTGCTGCTGAATGACCATCTCGCACACCAATTTGTCTTTGGTCACCGCCACCGGGTACACGTCCTCGGCGACTCTATTGAAGTTCGTCGACCCTTTCAGCCGATCGAACACCCGAATCTGCTCCTCCAGAAGCTCGTCGTTCGTCTTAAAATCTCCAAAAATCATTATTTTCCCTGAAAACCTTGCATCACTCACCGGCTCGACGGAATCGGCAGATTCGGCTGGATGATCAGTGTGTCCGACCATTTCTGCTGTAAATTTCAGTACAAAGTGACGAGAAGTGGCGGGTAATCAGTTGAAATGGGTTATCAGCGGGCATTTCCGCCTACTCTGCGGGTGAAAAGTTCGACAAACGGGCACAAAGTGCAAAGAAAACCGACGGTGGCCGAGTTTTGGCGGACTGGAAAATGCTGTGGAAGAGAAATCGAAAATCAGAGTTGCGCAAATACCACTTGCAATATTCAGCTCGAACCCAAACTTTGAAGGCATCTTGGACTTGGATTCAAGTATAGTGGGATCAAGTTTCAGCCCGATCGGGTCATCTGGTCCCGAGATATGCAGATCATTGGCCAAAATCTGCGCTCAAGCTCTGTATCTCGATAGTAAATAGTCCGATCTGGCTGAAACTTGGACGGAATATCCTTCAATCTAAGTCCAAGAAGCCTGCAAAGTTGGGGTCCGATCGCAGCATTACAAGTGGGTCAAAAGTCCAGGGCCGGCCCAAAAAAATTGGAAAAACAGAGAATTTCGAAATAAAAAGTTTTTGCCCCTCCGCTAAATGTTTGAATAAACGAGTTGAACAGAATTGAGGAGAAGGAAGGCAATGTGTCAAGGTTATCCGAGAAGGACAATCTGAAAGGCACGGCCCGAAATCCGGCCGGACGGACGGGACCGACGCAAACGGAGACGCAAACGACGAAACAGAAGTCTTGCCAACCAAAAACACGCATTTCTTCCACCAGTTTGAGTGGGTTTTCTCCTCGTTTCGAAAAAATTCAATTTACAAATGCTTACCAGACGCCCTCCTTCTTTTTTTGTTTTCGTCCATCTCTCTTGTGTTCTGTCTTGCGGAAAGATGCGGCGAAAAGATATGAATCGGAATTTGAAATGTGATGTTTGAAGTTGAAGTCGCGAGTTTTTTATAGTCTATTTATAGTCTATAAAGTCTTTTGCACTCGCTCTTCCATTTTTTCCGGGGCGCTAGGCCACGGAAGCCCGCGAAATTAGTTTTCTCAACTTTTCCGCAATTTCAGACCACCAAACGCTACGAAATTTGTTCGAAAGTCATTCAAAGCGAGAAAAATGGCTTTCCGCGAACTTTTTCACGTCACTAGCCTCAAATTTGCTTTTTTTGCTCATACGTTCGGGAAATTCACATTTTTTGAGTTTCGCGGTGCGTTTTGACCGGAAAATGGAAGTGCGGCTGCAATCGAGATGATCGGGTGAGTTCTGACCACAAAAAGTGCGATTTGCATTTTTTAATTAAACAAAAAAAAACCCAATTAAGATCGGTGTTGCGTGCTTACTCGGTCTGTTCCCATCGCAAAGTGTGAATGAGTCAGTGCTCGGCGCGTCTCTCTCTCCTTGCTCAGTGTCAGCTGTCGTCGGTCCCTTCCTTCCGGGCACCCACTTGCTCTTCCCGCATTCACACACACACACACACTACTTTTCGCCTCAAATTTTGTACCAACTTTGTCTTTTTTACGTTTCCCTTTCGGTCAGTGCGTTAACTTTTGAATTTAGCGTCGCTACGCAGACAATTTGAGTAGCGACTCGGAAAAGATGGCGGTAATTCAGGTTTTATTCGTCACCGCACCGTCTAGTAGCTCATTCAGCAGGAAAAAAAACTATTTCTTCCGGAAAAAAACCTATCAAATTTTCCGCTCGTAAATCCTGTTCGTTGCGAGACCTGCGTCTTCAAATGATTATAATGTCCAACACAGTTACAAAACTATCGAAAGGCGTATGCCGCGTCTCACAACGAGCAGGAAGAGCCAATTTTTCGGAGGTTTTTCCAGTTGTTTGCCTGCTAAATATTGCTATTTTTCGAATCCTCTGATAATCCCGCAAAAGCACACAAATTAGTTCCAACCCCATGAACACTCTTTCTCATCGTTCGACTCATTCATTCGCAAATGATGACAATGAGCTAGGCGGGCAACAGAGTGTGAAGAAGGTCCGAGTGAGTATTACATTCTTTCTTCGTCTTCCCCTTCTTCCAATGTTTACCCCAGTGTGTCTTGTGGACGGATGAAGGTATCATGTTGCACACAATCATAATTCCCCCCCTCCCAACACCCTTTTGTCTCCCGGCGCTCCATACAACCACTAGTGCACAAACATTTCGAAATTAGAGCAATACTCGAACAAGAAACAGGAAAAACAGGTAAAAGTGCGATAGAGCGCACTTTCGCCGATCCTCCCGAATTTCTGCAATCTCGTTCCGAAAAATGAGAATAATTTCGACGGGAATTCGAAGAAGAAGCCAAAGATAATCCACCCGCCGCCCGCTCGCTCGCTCGCTCGTTTCTTCTTCTTCTTCTTCTTCTTGTGTTACAACGGCAAGTGACCAGCAGGTTGCCTGCAGCCACTCACGCCCCCGCAATCCTCCCCCTCCCCTCTCGATTTTTCGATCCTGACGCACCAGAAATTCCTTTTTCCTAATTTCACTATCGCTTTCGCATTTTCGCCCCCCAAAAATGCGTGCTTTTGGCGCCGGATTCGCGCGCTCCGACACTCAAATTGAAGCGTGCGGCTGCTCTTCTATTTTCTCGAATTTCTAGGGCGCGGTAGAGCGCGATTGCTGCTAACCTCGGTCACTTTTCTTCAACTGTGATCCATTTCCCATCATGCGTCACGATTTCAATATATATTTTTTTCCAACAATATTTCGAATGAAATGCACGATGCATCATCCATTCGCCTCTCTTTTTTCCCGCCCGTTCGCTTCACTTTACACTCACATTGGCTCTCCGAGCAGCCTTCGGTGCCTTCGAACGAAACTACTTTTCGTTCGAGAAAGAATGTCCGGCGGGAGGGATGGGTAAGTGGGTCATCTGAAGAAGCAAGATGAGCACTCTCACTTTTGAATTACTTTTTGAGCGACTTCTATTATCTCGCCCCGAAAATCGAGTCCTTTTTCTTTTTCCTTTTTCCCCGGAAAGCGTTGGGTTTTGAGAATTGCTCTCTTTTCCTTTTCTCTGATGTATAAAACAAATTCTTAGAACCATAAAGTTACTTGTTTCGTAGCTACGTTTGGACAATATTTGGAAAAACGTTCATAACTTGAGAATAACCCATTTTGGGACCAAACTGTCAATTGTAAAGTTGTAGAGCACAAAATTTGCAACAAACTTTCCTGTTGATCACTTTTTGAAAACACTCGAATTTGGGGCAGTTTCGAGCCTTCAAAGTACGCTATCTTTGAAGGCTTGTATCTCAAGAGCCAATGATTGTGTCGACGAGCTGTCAATTACAAAGTTGGTGCAAATTTTCGGCTCTACAACTTTATCGCTGAACTTTTCGCACCGAAATTCTTCCTTTTCAAATTATGACCCGTTTCCCCCAAACAACACTCTTCACGCTCGAATTAATGTTGTCCGTTTGTTTGTTTGACACGCTGCCGCGAGGTGATAAGAGAGAGGACCGCCGTTGTAGTGCTCTTGTAAAAAAAGAGGAGAAGCGAGGAAAAGTTCGGGCGGCACCATGAATAAATAATAAGAGACGTACTTCTTCGTCTTCTTCTCTCTATCGGAGTCTATCCGCAAAAAATCCGCACAAATACACACATTGTTGGCCAGAAAGAGAGAGAGAGAGCGAAAGAACGTTTACCTTTACTCATACATTCCGCCACTTTTCCCCTCATCATCAGTTCCCTGCCCGCCACCGCCCGTCCTTCCCGATCACAATCTTTTTCTCTCTCTCTCTCTCTCTCTACCTCTCCTTCTCTTTCTTTCCATCACCTGTCTCGCACCCGCAAGTACGAATTGAGCAGAAAAAAAAAACGTTTTTGCGAAACCTTCACTCTTTCAACTTTCAACTTTCGAGAACCGTTCGCTTTGTGTGTTTTTGAAGCTCCAAATGGCGGGTGTCGAAATTTGTTCTTATACTTACACTGTGTTCTCTACTTTCTAGTACTAAAATTTCATAATAATGTGATTTGTGAGACAACATCTCAACGTTTTGTAATTTTCAGTCTGAAAAGCACGCGTGCCTTTTTTACCCTTTCCTACTTTTTTCGTATCACTTTTTTTTCTTCAGAAATGAGCAAAAAGTGTGCTCGCGAGGATTGCGGCAAGACGGTTTACCCGATCGAAGAGCTGAAATGTCTGGACAAAGTGTGGCACAAACAGTGCTTCAAATGCACCGTTTGCGGAATGACTCTGTCGATGAAGAACTACAAGGGATACGATAAGAGACCGTATTGCGATCCGTGAGTCATCAAAACGATACGGTTGAAGATAGATAGTATGGAGATTTTTGAAGGCACTACCCGAAAACGGTGGCTTCCGTCGTCGCCGACACGCCGGAAATGAGGAGAATCGCCGAGAATACCAAGAATCAGAGCAATGTGAGTGTATCTGAAAAAAACTGTTGCAAATCTTGTGCTGAACAGCTTTGTAGTTGGCCATTTTTACCGAAAACGTCATATTCTCAAGTTGTGAGCCTATTTCTTAACAGTACAGTTATGTTGAAGCTTTGAGGCCTCAAATCAGGCCCTAGCAGTAACTTTTCATGCTTAACGACTTTGTAATTGACCGTTTTTTCCAAAAATGCTCAATTCTAGAGTGATTACAGATTCAATATCACGCCGAGTACGAAAAGATGAAGGGGACTAAGACCGAGATTGCCGATGATCCGGAGATTGAGCGACTTAAGAAGAACACTCAGGTTAGCTGAATTTAAGAATCTAAGTGCTCTATTGCTCATCGAGATCCTCAAAATATGAACATTTGACATTGTTGTAGGTCCAATCGAACGTGCAATACCACGGAGTCTTGGGCCTGAAAGCCCGTCAAGAGGAGGTCCGTCCGAAGGAGGAAATCTCTCCGCAACCCTCACCAAGTAAGCGTTTTCTTTTTCTCAACCAAGAACTGTATCGTCCTTTCCTTTCGCTTTTTCGTTTTTGCACGACGTTCCGTTATTATTTCGCTTTACTACCAGTTTACTGCCACATCACGGGCGCCGGCGGCGTACAGTACTCGCGGATCACTGTAGAAGAAGAAAAGCAAGCCGCGGCGGTCGAGGAAATGGAAGATGTGAGCGACGAGGAGGGCGACGAGTACTGGCAGATTCCGGTGACCGTTTTCTATAGATAGATTTCGAACTTTTGCCGTTTTTTCCCTCACTTCTACTTCTTTTTCTTTCTTTATGTTCTCTCATCTACCTCAGAAGTGTTTCGCCCGCAAAGTTCGCTACGACACTCCACGCAGTCGCTCTCCCATTGACACACAAAATGGTGCGCCCCGCGGCCTAGAATTGCGGGGAAATGAAAGAGCGACTGCAAATTTCGCGGTTTCCGAACTTTGTAAGCGAGAAAAATAGTATGTTATCTCATATTTTCGTGTTTTCTCTCGTCTTCAAACGCATATCAGTCGCCCCTGTTCAGGTGTTGAAGCCGCGGCCGTTCCCGCACCCACCAAGGCTCCGCTCACTCCAAAAACCACTAAACTCATGACCAAATGAAGAAGATTTCAGTTGTATCGGTTTTTGTGTTTAATAAAGTGCACTTTCATTATTATTATTATTATCATTTTCTCACATCACACACATTTTTCGTTGTAAAACAAGCAAATACTAACCGAAATCATTTTCAGTGCAAATGTCGCCGAACGGAATCCAACACCAAACGTATTCGGCGCCCACGCAAGCCGTCATCGCCAACACTCATCTCATTTACTCGACGGAGCAGGGAGGAACAGGTCGGTGATGGAAACGCGCTGTCGGCGCTTTTCTTGGTCATTTTGTCGAAAAACACGTGAAATCTCGATTTTCTTGCATTAGAAGTGTGTTTTTCCGGATTGTTGAGACGCAAATCGATAAACGCCTAAATTTTCGCATTTTCAGTGTCGCCACAACCGCAAAAAAGTGTGGGCAGCATCGCCGACTACGACCCGATGAACGGACAATGGGGTACGGCGGGTGGCCAGCCGAAAAACTCGGAAAAATTGGGATATCTCAGTAAGGCTTTCCGCTTTTGTAAATACCGTCCGCGTTCGTTTTTGTGTTTGTTCTCAATGGAGCGCACTTTCTGATCTACGTTATTCGCACGTCTCAGTCGGCATTTCCGAGTTTCCAATTGCAGAAGCACAAGTGGAAAAAGGGCCGGCTCGGTTTTGTGCGGATTTCGCCGGCGCGCCGCCCGCAGCACAGAGCATCGCCTCCTCGTCGCCGCATTCGACGCTTTCATCTCCGCAGAGCGCCGTTTCGCCGACTGGAAAGGCCGGATTCGCCGTCAAAGCGATTTACGATTACGCGGCCGCCGACAAAGACGAGGTTTGGCTGAGAAATGAGCAAAACGCGCTCTCGATTTCATTTCTAGGCAGTTCTAGGTCACGAAATTGTAATGTTATAGTTTTTCCAGAGATTTTGTGCAAGTCTTTCAAAAAACACATTTTAAAGTCCTTTTTCGAACTTTGCAAAGCCAACAAATCGCTGGGCATTCTAAAATTATGCTTGAAAAGCGGAAACCAGAGGCGACGCCCCTAAAAATCCCAATTTTCCAGATCTCATTCCTCGAAGGCGACATAATCGTGAACTGCGAGAAGATCGACGACGGCTGGATGACGGGCACCGTCCAAAGAACTCTTCAGTGGGGAATGCTGCCCGCCAACTACGTCCAAACGCACAAATTGCCGACCGGTCTGCACCGCCTTTCCTGAACCCGTTCTCTGTTTCATTTCGCTAACAATTCTATTTAAAATCCTACTAATATCACCCCATGACTCATTTTCGCTAAAATCTTGCTCAATCCCCCCATTTTTTCAAAAATTTTGCTATTTTCGCTTGAACGCGGGTACTTTTTTTGAAAATGAATAAAAACATGAGAAATGTCTCATTTTGAGATGAAATGGCTAACTGTAAGGCGCTGGTGGCGAAAATGTACAGAAATACTATTAACAAACAACTCAGACAACGGTGGCGCGCACTGTTTAGCCATCGTTATTCTTCACACTGAATTTTGAGGCGTTTCGCTCACAAAGAGCAGAAAAGGGTTAGAAATACTCTGATTGGGAATGAAAAAAATGAAAAAAAAAATAATTTAGTTTTTGCAGATCAAATATGCTCTCACTCATTCTCAAAAAGTCAGAAAACAAAGTTATTTGTGCTCTTTCATCTGTCCCTGCTGGAGTCATTGTAGAATTAGCCGAGGCGTCTCCCATGTGTGTCCAGATGGATTGCTTTATTTTGGAATCCTCGCTGGAAGTTCTTGAGCGGCACCTCTCCGCTTGCTCTTCATCCTCGTTCGTAAAAAAGAATCCTCACTTTTTTACATAATAATGAGAAACAACAGTCCCCCGGAAAAACAAGGGTCCCCTAAAGTAAAAAATAAAATTTGATTGGCGGTAATACAAATTCGAAAACAAATAAACTTACAATCAGAATTCCACCATAATATTCCTCGATTTTTCTACATATAACAATTTATTAGTCAAAACAATTCAAAAAAAGTCTCCAGCTCTGGCACGGCTTCCAGAAGGCCCGGCTGCTCCGTCGTTCGCTCCCTTTTCCCCTTCTGTCTTCTTCTTCCTCCGTATCATTTTTTCGATTCCTCCGGCTCCGGGCGTCCCGGGCGTTTGTCCGCCTCTGCTCCACGAGGATCCGGGCGTCGAGCCGCAGCTCCAGGTGCTTGAAGGCGTTCCCGACGAGCGAGACCACGCGGATCCGCTGATCTTCGGAGAAGCAAATGGGGATTTGTGCGCGAGCATCTTCAGACCGAGCTTCTTCGTCGCGAGCTTCTGCGCGGCCGGCGAGAGTTGCGAGAGCTTCGCCGAGACGCGTCGCGATCCGAATCCCGGCGTTCGGCTGAAAATTTTTGGGCTTATTCTAGGAAATTTATGAGAGGGTTTCGAAGGGTTATGGTTAAGACTAGGCTGGTCGAACAGGCGCCTGAAAAAAACAGGCGCAGGGGCCTCAAAAAACAGGCACAGGCGCCTGAAATCGCCTGTTCGATTGGTAACAGAATGGAAGCGCATTGGCCCAAAGACAACACAAGAACGAAAATTCCCACACTATTTCTCAAAATTCCAATAAAAAACGTACTGCGCCCCCTCGGCCGCCTTCATCGCCACCTTCCGTTTGTCCCTGTACTTGGCGGCGATCGAATCGTTCATCGACTGTGCAATCTTCTCGCGGAACGGCACTTCGGGTATCTTGAAGACGGGCGCTGCATCCGGAAACGAGTGCTCCGTCACGTCGGGAGCGTCCAGACGGAACGGCGTCCCGTCGATTTCTCCCCAGGTCATCAGCGGCGAGTCCATGTCGTCGGGGTTCGGGTTCGGCGTCTCGAGCAGTTTGAACGAGTTCGCCGGCGTCACCTCGTTCCCCAGAAAGTCCACCTTACCCGCATTCGCGAGAGCATGGCTCACTGCAGCCCGCGTGACCGCCTCGTCGCTCGGCCGAAGTTTCCCGCTCTCCGGAAACCTCGTCCCCCGCCGGTTTATCTCCGTCTGCTGCTTCCGCGCGGCTTCCGCTTGCTCTGCAACCGTCAGCGGTGCTCCATCCGGATTGAAAAGCACCGTATTCCATGCCTTATAGTTCCAGTTGTCCAGGTTCAACGGACGCGCGTCGTCCGCGTTCACCGCGTGCTTCAACGCCAGTTGGACGTCGGCGTCGGCCGCGAGCGCCTTCCGCTCTACGAGATTTGCGTTGTGCTCCGCCTCGGCGGCGTAGACCCACGGACGACGGGCGTCTTCCCGCTGACGCATCACTTTTGCCAGCTCCTCAAACGAGGCGTTGTCCTCCGACGTGTATTTGTTCAGATAAGTTGTCAACGTCTCTTCCTTTCGCTTTTTTCGCTTTCGAGACAGCGCCTGTAAATCTTGCGAAGGTACACGGGAAAAGGGGGCGGGGGCTCTTCAGCTTTTATGAAGTTTTTTTCGCCGAAAAATCACAAATATTACCTCATTGTCACCTTCCTCGTTAGCGAACGGCATCGGCGACTTCATCCAATCGTGCGGACCGGCCGTCGACGGTCCCGGAGTGTCCGAGTCGAATCTCGCGGAAGTTTCTGGAATTCCAGACGCATCCGGCTCGGAACGCGTCGTGATCGGTGTGCGGAAGCTCCGATCGGTCCTGACCGACGCCGAACTGCAGAACTTGAGCTGCAGCTCTTTGATTTTGATGATGTCCTTCTTCGCCACCGCCTCCAGATACTCTTTTTGGGCCTGAAATGCTTTTTTCGGCTCTTTTCAGAAGAGAAATCAATACCTGCATCTTTTTAAGCTGCGGAAAATAGTCTTTTTCGATGATTTTATCCAATCCGGCGATGTACTGCTCCTCGGGCACCACTTTCCGCTCGACTTTTTTGGTCACCAACGTTTTCTGCGACACTTTCACCACTTTTCCCTCATTTATCGATTTTGGCACAATCAACTTGGCACGCTCGTCCACTTTATCGAACGATGACATTCTGAAATAGAAAAGTAAAGATTTTTGAAAGGGGTTTCCGAACGGTTTTTCAGAAAAATGATCGGAAATCACTAGGAAAGATAGTTTTAACGTGAAAATTAAGTCAAGAAATAAGACTCTATTGTTTTAATTGGTCGAAAAAAAAAGAAACACTTTTATCGACAGGAAAGGTGGGGAACACGCAAAAATGAAGAGAAAAGTGCAGAGTTTGTTGGGCGTCGAGTCTGGGGTGTTTGGTGCATTTGCGCGTGATGGTGTTCGCACGGAAATAACAAATCTCACTGAATTCTGCTGTAACTACGAGGCCGTGCCAAAGCGGGAGAACTCACAAAAACCGCAAATGCCAAAACCGCGGATCATTTGTGAGTGGTCTCAGGCACTCTTTTCCTGCAGGAATATTACATGAATGCCGAGAATTTCCCACCACAAACGGTATGTTGAACGCCGAAAACTTTTAATAGATATTTGCTGTAATGGATAGTTACCCGAGTACCGTTTATTCAAAACGATATATCTCAGCTGCCCTTGAAGTTATAAAGAAGTAGCCAACTGACAAATTGGCACACAAAGATATATTAATACACAAAGAGATGACGCACAGTTGGCCAAAGTCTCAACCAAATGGCAGCTAAGAGATGTAATAAGGAGCAGAAGACGCTTGAAGAAGAGGGAAGCAGGGAAAACGAAGTTAAGGAGGAAGATTGGTGAGGAGGATTTTGTCTCAAAGATCACGAGCTCTTCCAACGGACGCGCGATCGTTTGAAATGGAGAGACTGTGCGTCTGAGAGCAACCACACATCGCTTCATACAACGGACCCTGCACAACCGGCTAAGTTAATTTAAAACAGCAGGCTAAGAACTTTATTTCGAAATTTCTGAGCGAATTCTCACCGATTTGTGTTACTAAAACGTTGAGAACACTCAAATGAGAACGTTTGGCGCGAGCGCAGTGAATTGATTTAAATGGCGGAGTTTTAAATAAATGGTGGCCGCCTGAAATATTATAAAATGGTGGAGTTTCATGCGACCGGCGGACACGGCACGAACTCGCCACACCCTGCACACGTCAATGGCGATTAAAAGACGACTCTCATGTCTTCTGCAAATTGATGAGCTTTTTTATAAGTTTTACAGTAAAACATTGTGTTCAGGGCTGGGCAAAAGGCCGGCCCAGGCTTTTTAAGGCCAAGACTTTTGATCGACTAGCAGTATTCCTCTCGTAAAACTCCATAAAATCGGAAAACTTGAAGTCAAAAACGCCGTGTTGTTCGGAAGAAATAGAGCTTCAATTTGACCACAAGATGATCCTCATTTATTAGGAAATAACCGGAAACTACAAATTCAAATATTACAAATCGATCGATAAATGGAATTGAAGAAAACCTTCGCCGAATTTTTTCGCGATGTCCGTCCATTCGTCTCCACTAGATCTTCGGATGTGCACGTCTGAAACATTCAATTGTTATGGTTCTTATTCTGCTTGCAAACTCACAAAGTGCTCGGCGGAATGCGCCTCCCTCCTACTCTAGCAGATCCTAATGAATGACACTTCGAAAAGCGGCAATCACTGATTGCGTCAAGAGTAAGAGGTTTCTTGACTGTTCTTCGCCTTCCGAAGATCCTCGTTGGCCCACCCGTCCGCTGAATTCATTCATATAAGTATTTGATGAAAACTGATGGCGCTTGAACGGATTTTCTAGAAAAAATTAACAAATGCAAATAGAATTGTGAATTTGCGCAATGTTTTAGGCAAAAATCTTCAAACGGGCTTGACCAAATTCGGCTCCGGGACATTTCGAAACCGGACATTTCGAAACCGCGACATTTCGAAACCGCGACATTTCGAAACCAGACATTTCGAAACCGCGACATTTCGAAACCGCGACATTTCGAAACCAGACATTTCGAAACCGCGACATTTCGAAACCAATTCAGTACAAGTATTTAAAAATTCAAAAAACCGCAAAATTCGCGGTAGAAATGCATGTTAAGTGTATTTTAGCAATTAGTTATGATTTCGGACTATTTATACTAACACAAACGTATAACTTGACAAAATTATTCGCGTCGGCCAGGAGCTTGACAGGTCTCATTGTAAATCCGTTGTGCGGATATAACGGGCGGAGTGCTCTTTTCGGCATTATTCTGTACAAATACGATTTCCAGCAAGCGGATCATGGAAAATAATAAGAATGTTCGACAAAAACACAGAACAATATGAAAAATTACTGTCCATACTGCGAATATGGCGGTTTTTTTGAATTTTTAATACTTGTACTGAATTGGTTTCGAAATGTCGCGGTTTCGAAATGTCGCGGTTTCGAAATGTCTGGTTTCGAAATGTCGCGGTTTCGAAATGTCTGGTTTCGAAATGTCGCGGTTTCGATATGTCTGGTTTCGAAATGTCGCGGTTTCGAAATGTCCGGTTTCGAAATGTCCCGGAGCCCCAAATTCGAGGGCCTTGCGCTTCAAAAATTTCGTTTGACCTACTCTAAGATCGCAGCGCAAATTGGAAATTGACGAGTTTTCGCGGCGGACTTTGCAAAAATTGAAAAAAAGTAAAATTAACATTTGAATTTCGCCTTTCCGTCGGCCCGCTGATAGACGGAAGAATCGGTGATTCACATATTTCCCGGGGTTGTGAATCCCTTTTCTTTCGTTCACAGTCATTTTGACTATACTTTTATTCGATTATTTTCTCTTTTTATCATTCTGCGCCTCCGCCATCGTCTTCTTGCTCCAATCGACGTCAGGAGTCATCTGAAGAGTGTCGTACGTCGAACTTTCCGCCACTTTTGTCGCCTAAAAACGAAGAATTTCCGAAATAATCCAATGTCTTCAGTTATTTACAGTGTCGCTGGGCGGATGAATGTCCGGAACGCCGGAAATCGGATTCCTCGGCGCCGGATTTGCACCGGGCGTCGGGCCGAGAACTGTGGGCGGTCCGTGCTTCGACAAGTACTTTATTCCGTCGTCTTGAGACTCGAAAGTCTGAGTGATGGTGCGAGTTTTCGGGGCAGGACCCAACAGAATACGCGAATCTTCGTCGGAATTCTGAAAATAACGTCAGTACTGAAATGTTTGAAATGTTCAAATTCTGCTCAAAAGTTCCCGGTTTTAAGTTTTCCCGTAAAAATTCCCCGCTTAAAGTCGCGTATTCAACAAGAACTTACATTTTCAGACAAAAACGGCGCAACAAGTGATATAACCAAACCCATTCTTAGGTTGTTTGTTTTAAATGCGAAAAATGACAGCACCCCGCCCCAGCACTCAAAACAAAACGTCTATCTTCGGTGAAAAGTTCACGAAATATCAACTTTACGGCAAAAAAACAGATCTAAAAATTTATTGAGAGTTAAAACTGCGCAGTGACATACAAAAACATGGCTTTTCTATTCAGAAATGGGGATTTTCGAGAAACGAAACGGAAACGTTTATTCCTTCTTTCCGACGGCTTTTCCGTTCTCCCAGTTCGAAGTTTTCAGAGTGGCCGGAGTCTTCTTCGCGGTGGCGCTTCCCTGAAAACATTTTCATATTGTACTCTTCCAGATTTACAAACTTGCATGGCCTAGAAAGCTGAAACTAAGAAAAACTAGGCTAAAACTTTGGCGATGGAGCGCTTTTGCCTACCTTGGCGCACTGACGAGTGACCTGGGCGGCGATTTGCGAGAAGCGAACGTAGTTGAGTCCAGCGGCTCTCCAGGCGACCATTTTCGAGCGAAAAGTTGAGTTTCGAGACCCATTCGCCAATTATTCGTTTTATTGTTGAATATGTTAAGCTCATTTTCAAAGGGAAACCATGCATTGTGAGTGCTCAATAAAGAGAACAGCAGCCGTTTATTAAAAGAGGAACACACAAAAGTTACTGGGAAATACAAGAAAGCCAAAACAACATAATTTTTTCGGGAGGTGACAAAATTGTGCGAGAGAGGAAAACAGGCAAAAATGGATTTGAAAACGCGAAAAATGTATCACAAAGCAAGCGGAATATCAACTGAAAATCGGAATTGTTTTTCGTAATTTTGCTCCAAGTCCATTGCGATCGAGAAGATTCCGGTGGGAGAGGGGTCTCACGCTGAAAATTTGGGATAAGTCGATAGAAAATGAGAATGTTAGAGGAGAAGAAGAGACACAGGGATTTCACACCACTTTTTCACACTTCAAATTCAATTTTCTCGAAAAGACGGCGAATTTTGCACGGGAAATGTGCAAATCGCGCTCTATCGCACACTTTGTCGTTGTTCTTCCACGGAAACACGCTAAGATCAAAATCGAGATTTCTGATAGTGCTTCCATGCAAATACGGATTTTCACGAAACCTAACGACTACAACTCGTACGGTAGAGCGTGATTGCCTCATTTCTAATGTGACAATAGAAAGTTGTCAGAAAATCTTAGAAAAATGTGTAAAAATCGGTAGAAATCCATTCTCTCTCCTCCATTTTCAAATCTCGGCGATGAGCTGCGAGATGCTCATCCGATTCGTACCGTTGGGCTCTTGTTGCGTGGGCGTCGCCTGTCCGCCGTACACTTGTCCCGGCCGGATCGGCTTCACGATCTGCGGCGCGTTCATCCTCCGCATGTTGCGCTGCCGCACCGCCTCCTTGATCCGCTCCACCTCCTGCTGGTACTTTTTGCGTTCCGCCTGACTTCGCTGCTTCGAGTCGCGCAGCGCCGTCTCGAGCATTTTGATGCGGTCCTCGCGCCCGCGCAGACGCGCCTCCATCTTCGGCAGTTCGACGCGCAGATCCGCGTTGTCACGCACCAACTGAAAGATGATTTTTTTGTTACTGACAATCTAGGAATTTTTTCGTACCTGCTTGTGAACCTTGGTCGACTTGTCCAAATTGTTCTCCAGAAACTGGATTCTCTGCTTCTGGGCGGGGCCGCTCAGCGAGTCCTCGGCGCCCTCGACGTCCTGGTTCGTTTGGCACCGTGCCAGCAGCACCCGCACGAACTCCTTCTTCAAATTCTTCAACGTCGTCAGCTCCATGT